AAAAAATTGTTGATGTTGTTTATAGATTCTTCAGTTAGGTTTCTGAAGTGCTTAATAGGGGCATGGTTTGAGATTTCTGATTTGGAAGCGATGGCGAATATAGGGAAATGGTCAGATATGTCAGACAGAATTATTCCAGATAAGTGAGAAGTTAGATTGTTAGTAAAGATATTGTCGATGAGTGAGCAAAAAGAAGTTGAGATGCGAGTAGAGGAGGTTATAAGAGGTAAGAAGTTGTATGATGATAGTAGGTTAGAGAAGTCAGCAACGACGTTGTCACTGTTGAGTTTATTGAGGTCAAGGTTAAAGTCGCCAATTAAATAGCTCTTTATGTGTGGCTTGAATGTGGGTAAAATAAGTTCGAGCTTTTGGATTAAGATATTAGGGTCAGTGTTGGGGGGTCTATATACTGCTAAAATATTTACGTGTGTGTTGTTTAATTTTAAATTGACACCAAGAAGGTCAATAACGGTGTCGTTCAGAAGCAAATTGTTTATCATAGAAAATTCAATGCCTGATCTGATGAAGATTCCGACTCCACCACCTATTCTGTCAGACCTGTCAGACCTATTTTTAAAAACAAAATTGTAATCATTCATACGAACTAGTTTAGCGGTTTCGTCATTCAGCCATGTCTCTGAAATAATAATAATGGGAAAAAAATAAGATAAAAATTTATTTAAAATTAAAATGTCAGAAATTTTATTTAAAAGACTTCTGCTGTTTATGTGAAGTAGAGGTAGAGGGTGATCATGATTGTTGATGTACTTGGCTTCTAGAATGTTGAGTAGATCTCTTGTGGTGTATGAATCTGGTGAATGAATCTAGGAGGTTCTTTGTGGGGTCGATGTGGGTGTTGTATGCGTTAAAGTGTTGATCATCTTCGTCGTTGTTTGATGGTTGAGGATGTTGTTGGATAGAATTGATTGTGGAATAAGTATTGTTAACAGCCATTGTCGTGATTTATTGATGTCGCAGAATTGACATCGGAGGGAGGACTCATCATCGATGAGGCTTGTTGTTGTTTATGTGGTTCGACCANCTGAGAAGGNCC